GTTCTTAAATAAGTGTTTAGCTCAGTTTTAAAGAAACCATTCAAGATATTTTTATAAAACTTCATATGCTGATACATACTGATGAGAGCTATTCAACTGCAACAACTTTTTTGACCTTGACCTTTCCTTTGACCTTGACCTCACTTTTCTTAAATTGCTGTCAAACTTCACTTGCTGATACATACTGATGTAAGCTATTCAACTGCATCAACATTTTTAGCTCACCTCAACGAAGTTGGGGGAGCTTATGTAATACCCTTGGCGTCGGCGTTGGCGTCCCAGGTTAAGGTTTTTGGAGCAGTTTTCTTTTCAAGTACTTCTATGGCCTATATTAGTCAGAGATGCATGGAGGATGCTTCTAGTGTGTTTCATTGTACCAGTCAAGGTTTCAGATGCTGCAATTTCAGCTAAAGAATGACGAGGTTAATGTTTTTGGAGCAGGTCTCATTTCCAAGTAATTATAAGCCCTATATTGACCAAACTTGCATGGATGATACATCTAAGGATGCACACTACTGAACTTGCTTCGGATGCTGGATCTGACCTACATTTTCTGGATGAGTGACCAGGTTAAAGTTTTTGGAGCAGATCTCATTTCCAAGTAACTAAAACCTTATATTGACCAAACTTGCATGGATGATACATTTAAGGATGCACACTACTTGACTTGCTTCAGATGCTGGATCTGACCTATATTTTCCGGATAAGTGACCAGGTTAAAGTTTTTGGAGGAGATCTCATTTCCAAGTAACTTTAAACCCTATATTGACCAAACTTGCATGGATGATACATCTAAGGATTCACACTACTGGACTTGCTTCGGATGCTGGATCTGATCTACATTTTCCGGATGAGTAACCAGGTTAAGGTTTTGGAGCAGATCTCATTTCCAAGTAACTGTAAGGCCTATCTGAACCAAACTTGCATGGATGATGCATCAAGGGATGAACAATCTCAAAACTTGCTTCGGATCCTGGATTTGACTTACATTTTCTGGATGAGTGACTAGTTTTATGTTTTCAGATAAGTCTATTCCCAAGTAACTGCAAGCCCTATCAGACCAAAATTGCATAAATGTTGCATCTAGGGATGCACACTCCTAGATTATTAGTTTAGTGTGGGACTTTGCCTTACTTAAAGACAACATTCATTGAGGTGAGCTCTGTAATCTCTGATTACCTATGTTTGACCTTGACCTTTCATTTGATCTTGACTTCTCTTTTCTCAAAACCAGTCACGGTAGCCTAGTGGTAGGGCGCTCGCTTCATGATCGGGAGGCCTGGGTTCGATTCTTGTTCGCTGTGCAGTGTCAAACCTAAGATGTAAACGTAGGTAGTGACTGTTCCTTTGCTAAGCACCCAGCACTAGAAGTGAAAGTCACAGGTCTTTCGGATGAGACCTTAAAAACCGAGGTCCCGTGTCAGACAGGCATTGGCACGATAAAGAACCCTCACTGCTCAATGGCCCTGAGTGCTGAGTATAGGTCTAAATTTGAAGCCCTTCACTGGCACATGGTGACGTCTCTATATGAGTGAAAAATTCTCGAATGGGATGTTAAACAACATCCAATCAATCAATCTCTTTTCTCAATTTGTGTTTAACTCAGTTTTAAAGAAACCATTCATTATATTTTTATCAAACTTCATATGCTAATACATACTTATGTAAACTTTTCAACTGCATCAACATTTTTTGACCTTGATCTTACCTTTGACCTTAACTTCATTTATTTTGAATTTGTGTATAGCTCAGTTTTAAATAAACCATTCAAAGTATTTTTATCAAACTTAATATGCTGATATGTATTTTTGAGAACTATTCAACTGCATCAAAAAGGTTTGACCTTGAACTTTCCTGTGACCTTGACCTCACTTTTCTTAAATTTGCATTTTGCTTAGTTTTAAAGAACCATTTAAGATATATTTATGTAAGCTTATGCACTTATACATAATTTGGTGAGAATTTTTCATTTATATCCAACTTTTTAGATTTTTATATCCAACTTTTTAGATTTCAATTTTAAAGAAACTATTCAAGATATTCTCATCAAATTTCAAACACTTGTACAAATTTTCATGTTGCATTACTAATATACCCTTGGCGGGGCATTCATGTCAAATAAGTTGTGATAACTGATAAAAAATCAAAATATGAAAATCATTTTGTTTGTTCCCAGTCTTAGTCTTAAAGGAAATTTCTAGGACTTTTGACCTCATATGGCATCAAACCTGATGTTTAAAAGTAAGGTACGAGGGAATTAATTTCTACATGCTACATAAATATTAAAAATATCTTTGATGTAAATTGGCATGGAAATAGTGATATAGAAATTGATAACATTGTAAGGAATGAAAATATTTATGTATGGAAAGACTATTAGTAAGTTGTGCTAGTAAAATAAAAATTATTTAGAATTTAGAAAATTTAGGTTTATAATAGTTATTTCGTTTTTATGTTTCATTCAATATTTATTTAATTTTGTATTAAATTACAACTAAATATTTCCTTTGAGCCCCTGTTTGCCCTTTATGTTACTTAATCCAGCCTCACTTAAGCAACCTCTGTGACATAATTTCATATTTCAAATTCATTGCTGGTGCTTACTTTCAAAATATTCATTGTTTACAATTTGATTTTAAGTCTTTTAATGTCATTTTTCTTGCCAAATCATATAAATACACTTCAATGCTGGATGTGAATGTGTATTAATTGCTACTTATTGTGTGGACATACAAAGGTTGTTCGGAAAGTTTGCGGACTTCTCAATAACTATTTTTACTTGACGTCATACTATATCTTAATTTGGTAGAAATGTTTTAACAATAAATTTATATGACATGTTTTAAAAATTTTAAAAATATCGTGATTTATTTTAAACTGATTTAGAATTTAAAAATGTGAAAATCAGATTGCGGAGCAGGTCAAAATTTTATAATTTACAAACAATACACTAAATTATGTCTGTAAAATTGGTGCATGAGCGGTAAAATCCTAGATGTTTGAATTAAGAATTGGTACATCATTTTGTATTCCAAATTATGGTTTAATATTTTGCTTCGTTCAAAAGAAATCGATTTCAGAAGATAGGCAGTCCTCATTAAAAAAGGCAAAAGAGATGACATAGTAGAATTTCACGGAGAAGCAGTTTGTTAGTTTCTCTGGAAAACTCCAGAAAAAACTCTTGACAATGCTGGAGGTAGCAGGATATGTGTGAAAAGTGAGCCATGCATGTGTGTGTATACATCACACAGGCAGTATTTGAATGAGAGAGACTCTGTATCACACGAGGACAATCTCTATCTGTCAAAATCTCATCAAACACTTTAAGGTCAGACAACACATTCCTCAATAATATATAATTTTTTCCAAAAATTTTTCATTGAAGTATTGCTACTTTAACAAGTTTCCTCACAAAAAAATTAAGATACCTTACCAGGCATTTGTGCAAGATTCCAGAGGATACTATTTACTATATAATTCTACAAATATCGGAACCACATTTATATTGAAACTTTTCACTACTGAACTGATTTCTGCTTTTTCCTAGCTAAAGTGCTCAGGTGAGAGATGTGGCCCATGGGCCTCTTGTTTTCTTTTAATTTGGATGACATACTATTGTGTTGTCTGCAATGTTGCCATTCAAAATTTGCTACTTACTGTCCAAAGAAATCTTGAAGGCAAGCATGTGATGTCCAGTATTCCCATGGACAGAGTATCATTCAAGTCAAAGGCTAAACAGTATTTAAATCTTATGATTGAAAAGACAGACAGTATAGACAGATTTTCAGATATAGTACAGATTACTAGAGATTTTAAATTGTATGAAAAGTTTTTTGGACATTTTTGAATCTACCAGAGGACAGAGAATTTGGTATATCAAGAAAAGGGCAAAGCACAAAGTTGTAATCAGGCTCCACTGTTGCAAAAGGTTTCTTGAAAATTTTGATTTCAATTAATGAATGAAATGTAGTGAGATAGAGCCAGTAAACCACTGACTTGAAAAGTATTTTAAAAAATCTTTGATTAGATTACTCGCTGTTGTCCAGTTGTTGTTGCTTTTGTTATTTACAAGCAATTACATTTTAAGATCAGACTACACATTCCTCAATAATATATAATTTTCCCCAAGAATTTGTCATTGAAGTATTGCTACTTAAACAAGTTTCCTTACAAAAAAATGAGGTACCTTACCAGGCATTTGTGCAAGATACCAGATGATGGAGTTTTCTCTATAATCCTATCATACCTATTGGAAATCTCTTTAATTGTCAATATCACAATTTTTGGTGTATCTTTTTAGCTCACCTGAGCTGAAAGCTCGAGTGAGCTTTTCTGATCACCCGTTGTCCGTCGTCCGTCCCTCTGTCTGTCCGTCCGTCTGTAAACTTTTCACATTTTCAACTTCTTCTCAAGAACCACTGGGCCAATTTTAACTGAACTTGGCACAAAGTATCCTTGGGCAAAGGGGAGTTAAAATTGTTAAAATAAAGGGCCAAGTCCCCTTACAAGGGGAGATAATCAAGAAAAGACAAAAATAGGGTGGGGTCATTAAAATATCTTTTTCTCAAGAACCACTGGGCCAGAAAAGCTGAAACTTATGTGGAAGCATCCTCATGTAGTGTAGATTGTAAATTGTCAAAATCATGACCGGGGGTAGGGCGGGGCCACAATAGGTATTACAAGGGGGGAAATCTGGTAAAGAACAGCATTGTCAAAGTTACTCAGGTGAGCGATGTGGCCCATGGGCCTCTTGTTTTCCAGACATTTTGAAAACAGTTTAAAAATCACAAGATAATGATGATTATGAATAATTTTCAATATATTAGGAAGAGATATAAAACAGATATTCAAGGAACATCTGACCTTAATATAGGATCTAACACCACAATCAAAATGGATATCAGAAATTGATTGGATTGAATTCAGTCCCTGTCAGTTTCAGCTTATTCTTCCTGTAAGTCTTTCTTTACAGTCTGTATTATTTTTTTTTATTATTTCAGGTAAAACGTTATGAACGTTTAACAAAACTGAGGTTCGACACCAAACCAATAGGTATGATTATTGTGTATTTTTAAGCATTTTACAATGATTTTTGGGAGTTGAACTATGTTCAATCTCCCTCAGCTACATTTGTATCACACAGATTGCATGCTTTTTGAGCCAGTTTACTTAGAAGTTTACCCTAACAATCATCCACAGGAATCGTACATGCATCTGTGTAAGAAGTTATAAACACCACAAAATCTTTCAATTTCATTCACACTTTTATAGAAAAAAAGGTAAAAAGGGATTAATCTGTAAATGAAACATCGGTATCAATTTTTGATTTCGATGAAGGGTGTTGTCATGGATACCTAAAAATAAAAATTTCTGTGAAATACATTCAAAATGCTACTCCTCCTACAGATTTAATCTGATTTCAATATTACTAGGCAAAGAAGTAGACTACACTAAGATACATTATTCTGCATGTTGGTTTTTCATTTCAGTGAAAGATGTTGCCATTGTTACTAGAAATAGAAATTTTTATGAAATCTCTACCTCTTCTACAAATTTGGTTTGATTTCAATATCACTTGGTACACAAGTTGCCTACACTAAGGTTCATAATTTTGTGTATCATTTTTTTTTTAATATGGATGAATGATGTTGCCATGGTTACTAAAAATAGAAATTTCTGTGAAATACATTCAAAAAACTACTCCTCCTTCAGTTGTGGTCTGATTTCAATATAACTTGGAACACATGTAGACTATCAAAACATAAGAAGTTAAAACAACTGAAAATCCTGAAGTATAAATCAGTGAAAATGATAATTATTGCTTTGTTAGTCAAAATGATTGCTTTTTTATGTCTTGTACATTATAAATATAGGCCAGTATTATAGGATCCGGGTTGGGGCACTGTAGCTTGCTTTAACAGTATGAGGTGAAAATGAAACTTTTCGACATGGAAAGTATTAGCACATCAAGAACAGTGAAGGCCTTTTTGTGGTGTTCTGCAAAGAGTTATAGATGGGATGAATCAGTCTCAGACCGAAGAAGAAAGGTTGCAATACAAATAGTCGCCCGTGTGGCGCAGTGGTTAGAGCATTCCTCTAGAGTCGGTGAGTAAGGAGTTGATCCTTGCGTCAGGGGTTCGAATCCCACTGTAGAATGTGGAGACCTGGCTTTGGGGCCACCAACATATAAAAATCTCAGCTCAAATCTCAACCTCAAATCTTAGATTTCTGCCTCAGCTGAGATTTTCCTAAAACTCTGTGCCACCAACATTTCTGAGATTCGTCTCTCGTAAGCTGAGATTTGAGAAAAAACTTACTTATTTTTTCGTTGTTATATGCGACCTTTTTTCTATTAATGCACGAATTTGTTGAATGAATGATTGAATTTACCTTTGAGTTAGTTGTTTTTGCAATATTTCGTGTTAATCTCTATTTTTGGAGTAACACTGACTGAATCCACAAAGCACTTCAAGGTATCACACCAGTAATTGACCAATCAAAATGAACTTAGTCAATTGTAGTTCCATACATAATAAAGAAATATTTTTTTTTTATGTACAATTGCCAATTAATGCAAATTCAGTTTGATAAAATAACTAATCTGTGGAACTTCTCATTCTTTAACATTTCCATGTACTGTCATGAACCCAACTCACAGTTATTGTACTATCGCAGAATTTTGAGAAACCGCCTTCACTCTCCATTTTCATAAACAACAAAACACTTAGGTATGTTGCAGTTTGCCACTAATGTGACTTTAATTATAGAAATTACTTGTAGTTAATTATGTAATAATTGGTCAAGAAATCCATAAAATTATTAATTAACTTCTTATTATCTGTATCAAAAATTCACAACAGAATGAAGTCGAATTATGAATACGTCCTAAAAGAAACTGAAAAACCACGCTATCTGGACGACCGGGTCCAGATTTTTACCGTGCATGATTTTCATTGGGCATTTACTAAATGCTTTCATTTCCAAGAATCACTTGCATTTGCCTCTCCTAATTTGGACACGCCAAAAACTTCCAAGGATAATTCAAGCGCGATAACTCTAATTATATGCAGAGCATTCCAATGTATATAAAATTTTTTAAGTAAAACTTAAAATTCATATTGTGAGAAATTTTTTAATTTCCCTTATTCTATTTTTACATTTTTGGTATCTGTGCTTAGGATATTTTATGTACTTTGTAAAATATTAAAGGTTTTTGACAGGAACTATTTCTTTCGGGGCATAGGAGGCCACTTCCTGGGGTGCACACAGGATGTTTATAAACACATTGAATACACATGGTTTTGAGGGTATTCCTGTTTGCAGATGGAAAAAATCAGAAAATGCCGTGTAGGTACCCTATTTTTTGGTGTCAGCTGATGTAACTGGTAACATTTAACACTTCCTGCTAAATATTTTTTCATGAATTCGAATACCTGATTTTTAATTTTTTTTTTATTCTATATAGAATTACATAGTGAAAACAATTACCGGTGTGATACCTTGAAGGTGATTGTGTTAAATCATCTACACCCATATTAAAGGCAGTTTTAATTTTATAAAGGCATATTTCAACAAAATATGTCATTTTATGAACTTTCTGTGTGAAAGCACATATTTTTAAATTTAGAAGCAGGGTTGACATTAATTTATACAGTTTTCTATGTAAAATACTAATAATATGTCATGTTTTACCCTCAAAACTCCAAATTATGACTTTCAAAGTAGGATTATGCATCTGACATGTAGAAAGAAGTTAGGAAATGTTTGTTGTTTATTTTAGATGACTTTAAACTCTGTGCACCACCTGACCGCAGTCAATTATGGTGTCTACAGACTTTGCCGTAAAAGCACTTTAGGCTGATTTTTTCAAGAAAAGACTAATTCTGGGTTTGCGAATGAGTTTTCAACAAAAATGACAACTGCGATAAAATGTGAAGAAGTAAAACGTTTTTAAAAAGTGTTAAATTTTACAGAGACTGGGTTTACTCTCATTTTATTCACCTTAAGTGATTCATTTATTACTGGAGTGGAGGAATAGAAATAATGAAATGAGTTAAATTTGTCTTATAAAAGTAATGCACAAATAAAATTTATTAAGAATTTTTCAAAAATAAGAAGCTTATGACCAAAATTGCATAAATACTGTCAGGGCATGAGAGTGAATACTTATTCTGAGTCCCAACCATGCATCACACATATAGTACAGAATGTCACTTAGCACCATGGTATGCCTGATATGGTTCTCTAGACTTTTTCCATGCTTTCGCAGCTGACATTCAAGATTTTTCAGTTTGCCAGAGAATGTTTTTTGTCATTTTACCACTTTTATGTAGGTGTTGACCCTCTCTTTTAAATTAAGTCTCAGTCAGGATGTTTATTTTAGCTTGATTTGTTAAGCACATTAATGTACTGAAATATTAATAAATTACAAATTAAAGTGATGAAGAAATTTGACATATTTACACAATCAAAATATCAGAATAACCATAATTCAGCTAACAAAGTGCCCTGTTCTTCTTTTGTCACTTCCTATAAATTTTATCAGCAGTTTTGTACACCCACCCACCTCCAAGAATCATGGAGGATGGCCTGATATTAGTTTCTTTGTTGCATTTATTCACATTTAAAAGTGTTAAGACCCATAAAAATGTTTAAGATTTATATTTTTAAATTTAAATGTTGAATTTTTATGTAAATTTGGTGAAACAAAAAGCTGTAATCTTGAATTAATCATGCAAATTCATCAGACACCTTTGAAATTCCTGAGTAATTCAATGAAAAGAGGATAATAATTATATATGTATGTTCAATTGGAATTTCAGGGCTAATTTGTGTCTGCAGAGAAAGCCAGTTACATAAATCACAACAATAAATTACATCTGAATTGTTTTCTCCATTTTCTTATCATCAAAGCAAGTTTAATGGAGCGTCAGAGCTGTCCAGAACCTCCCCAGATGCTGATATCATTTGGACTGCCCTGTGTTACAACACAGCTTTTAGATAAACTTCTGCATAGCAGGTTGTAGACAAGTACCTAGGCTTTATTTGGAACATAAATTGACCAGATGCAGATTTTATTATCAGCCTAATATTTAACAATTTCTGTAAATTCTGTCATTCTTAGGAGGGTAAAATGCAATTTTGTTATGTAATAATTGCATAATGGTCTCAGACTTGTGAATTATTTTTTGTTTCTTGTGAAGAACAGTGCATATACTCTCCACGGATACAAAATTGGTTGCCAGGCTTAGTCTATTAAGGAAGAAATCCTGCTTCAAAATATGCACAAAAAACTTCTGTCAGAGTGCTCAGTGTGTATTCTTGACTGCTCTGGAGTAAGGGAGATAAATGCATCATATCTCCAGCAATAATGGGAATTAGATCCCCAGACTTCAGGATGTTAGTGACAGTTATTTAAGAAATCTCAGTTGCAAAAATGAAAAAAATCTGACAACATTAAAGGTCCTTCAAGGTATCACACCGGTAATTGACCATTCAAAATGAACTTTAGTGAATTGTAGTTCCATACATAATAAAGAAATATTTTTTTTTTGTGAGAATTTTTTTAATTTCCCTTATTCTATTTTTACATTTTTGGTATCTGTGCTTAGGATATTTTATGTACTTTGTAAAATATTAAAGGTTTTTGACAGGAACTATTTCTTTCGGGGCATAGGAGGCCACTTCCTGGGGTGCACACAGGATGTTTATAAACACATTGAATACACATGGTTTTGAGGGTATTCCTGTTTGCAGATGGAAAAAATCAGAAAATGCCGTGTAGGTACCCTATTTTTTGGTGTCAGCTGATGTAACTGGTAACATTTAACACTTCCTGCTAAATATTTTTTCATGAATTCGAATACCTGATTTTTAATGATTTTTTATTCTATATAGAATTACATAGTGAAAACAATTACCGGTGTGATACCTTGTTATCATCACTGACCTCAGTCACATAAACATCCACCTCCCAGAAACAATCTCTACACACAGAAGAGTTCCCCACCAAGAGTTATCTCTCTTAGTGTATTAACACAATATAAAATATATATTAACATTTTGGCGTATAATCACGAGAAAACACATTCCCCACTTCCTTCATCTTTTATTTGCTGTTTCGAGTCATTCAACGGAAAAGATTCCATTACGATCTTTGTGACAATAAATATTAACCGAGTCCCTGTAAAATATTCCCTACAGAAGAATAACACAAAAAACCAAATTTTATAGTCTTGGCTTGGCTCATCTGTGGACAATAACACATAAAATATGAGACACTGAGGCGTCACTTCTGCCATTGTGATGTTGCCGAAAGATTGTAAAAAGTAGATAGGCGGATCAAGACTATATTCAGGCCGATTACACATTTTTCTTTCTCTAATTTTGTTTTGTAAAATGTCAGTTCCATCTACATGTATAATATTTTGTTCTCCATAGAAAAAATATTTTAGGTATAGGGACTTTTTGTCCATATTTAGATTTTTTTCAAAATCATTTTAAGCGATCAAAGGAAATAAATTTTGCAACCGAAATAATGATTTAAATACTGCCAACTTGGCA